TTGCAATGATAAAATATTTTTCACAACAATAATTAAACCTGTATCATATTTATAAAAACATATTTTCATATTGACAAAGACCTCAAATTTGATAAATTATTATTTATCAATTTGATAATTTTTTTTCTTGTCTTGAACAATAATTATTCATAAGAATAATCATTTTGTTCATATTAATAAAACATTATCATAAACCCTTGATAAAATTTCTCTATCAAAATTGATTGAGGTTTTTCTTTGGGTGTANTTTCTCTATCAAAATTGATTGAGGTTTTTCTTTGGGTGTATGAAAATAAATAATCTCAATTGATTTCAAGAAAATGAGTGTCTTATTCTTAATCGATAATAATGTACTAAGTATAGTTGTGCAAATATAAAATTTGTCTTTATTTATCACAAAGTAATTAATAAAAAAGAAAAATTAATTATGTCATACAAGTACATAAAATACATACACATGGAAATAATAAAATAATAAATAAGAGTACTGAAGTTATAGTAGATCATGCGATTTGTAGCGGTTGCAATATCGTCAGTACCGGCATACTTGTTTTGCTTATCACTTTTAAAATGTATAAACCGAACCCTACCCAACCATGCTGTAATGTTTTATGATTTTTTGTATATATATTAGTTTGGCTCTCAAAAATCGAATGTCTTTTTTTGCCACCTCATATATTTGAAATTATACTCAGAAACATTATCGATAGAAAATTAGTTGTTCACTGGTAAAGGCGTACCGATTTTCAAGCTATTTCAGCAGGTTTGGAATGATTTAAATAAAGAAAATTTTAAATCTTATATTTTTGAAAGTAATTTTAAAGAAATTATAGAGCCAGAACTTCAGAAGATAATAATTTTTGTAGAAAATAAATTAAAAATTGTTAATAACAAGTAAAATATTTTATAAAGAAAAATTATGTTATAATAAAATAAGATTTATTTTCTGTCCATAAAATAATAAATCTAAAAAACATAACAAACATTATGTTTGCAAAAAACATTACGTTATCGCACTTGGCATAAAAAATTTAACTTTTAGAATTTTTTTAATGAATAAACGTATTGATTATATATAGTCATTAACGAGTAATGAATTAAGACGTTTGATGTGAGTTATTACGAGTATTTGGTTTCTTTGGACATAACCTGTCACTATAATTAGCATTGAGCACAGTGGAAAATTGGAGAATTTACGATCAAATGAATCCACCTTGTGTAGAACACAAAATACATTACTGTTACTATTTCTTTGAAGTAGCAGATTGTTATTGCTACTGAAGCAATCACTATTATAAATCACTGTTACTGTTATTTTGTCCCATCACTAAGAGAAATACAAGGGGAGGTGCTATGGTGCATGTTGTACACTGACAATATAGTGTATAGGGTTATAATATAGATAATAGGAGGCAATTAATCAAAAGTTAGAGGTGTGGAAATCAGCTGTTGAAGAAAAGGGTTTAAGAATACGTAGGAATAAGACAGAGTATATAGAGTATACACGAGGTAGGTGAAATGAGAAGGTCAGTAACAATAAGCTAGGGCATGGTAGGACAGGTGGAAAGTTTTAAGTATTTAGGATAAGAGTAGCATATCAAATAAATTCATAATAGGAACTATTATTATTTAAAATGTATACATTAACAGCAGGGGCGTTATTTCAGTTTTTTTTTTTGATGTNAAATGTATACATTAACAGCAAGGGCGTTATTTCAGTTTTTTTTTTTGATGTACGAAATTTCAAGTAGGCCATTTTGAAATTACATCAGGACATATAAAAATAGATATACCTATTTAAGTTAATTATTCTTCTTTTAATTTTTCCATAGATTATGAATCACAATCAACATAAGTAGTAAATATAAATTATAATAATACCTAGTATTTTAATATAATATAATATAACGTAGCGTCGGGGTCGTAGCAATCGTTTAATTTTTTAATAATTAGTTCATTACTGTTATCAATTATTTCTGTTAAATGCGCAGCAAATAAGTCATGATAAAAACGGTGGCATAGTTGGGACAATTATTATAGGAATTATGGTAGCGTAATCCATATGACCCGTTCGCTCTATCAATAACGACTCAACTCATTAGTCGAAATGCCAAACTAGTTTGTATAATCGTGATCAGTAACATCAGCGTACGATTCATTTCGCCATCTGTTAGCCACGAACTAAGACAAAAAGGACTAGACACAAAGCCATATCAGGCAATCCGGTTTTTTGGTAGATTTCTCGTAAAAGGTAAAATTTTGAAATAACAGCGCCATCTGCTATTTTACATGTACTTTTTTGATTCCTGCTGTTTTTTTTAATTTTGTATTCTAAAGATATTCATTGCTAGATTTCATTGTTCGATGAATATTCCTCAGTAATAGCTATGGGGATGCAACTTTAAATATAATACCTAAACACATATTATTATTTTAAAGGTCGCAGTAAAAAATAGAAAAGAAAATAATAATAATTTTGATTATACTACTATAACAAACGATAACGATGAGCGTACATGGACAATTTCAAAAATAAATTTCCCAATAGTGATATACTAATATTTTACCGTTGGACAACGCTATCAGTCGTCCACAACACTGCCTGTGTGTATATGCGTATCGCTTATACTGCTGGTAATTGAGGGAAACAACTTAAATGTTCGTACACATCAAATGTATTATAGCCAAGGGTCGCAAGTTTTTTTTTGGCATTGTTTAATGTGAATTAATGTCCAAATACTAGTATTTATAATTATGAAATGGATTTGTAGCTCACTTTGCATGTTTTCCTAAGAAGCAAAAAAAAACATGCAAATGCATGAACTTACAAGCCCTGATTATAACTATTTTACTATTTAAAAATTTGCATTTTTAATAAAAATGTAGAATTTAGAGTATACAATTAATTTTCTTCTTTTAATTACAAATAATGGATAACAATATTTGTAATTAAAATAAATTACAATTAATATAACATATGAAGTAATGATTCATTTTTAAAGGGACTATCATCCCTAAGCATTTTTTAATGCTTATCTATGATTGGTGTCTCCTGAATAGGCTAAAAACACAATATTTAGAGAAATCTACTTTTCACTTTATAAAACTTCCAAAAATTTTTTAGTCTTATTATTTATTTACATTACTTAAAATCCAACAAGTTATAACAATGTTTATGATAAAATTTAATTATATAAATCATAACAAATATACAAATATAAATAATTACATTACAGTGTCTACTATTATTTTTCTATAGTATAATAAAATTGGTACCTAATATAAAAAGGCACACAATGAACACATACAAAATAAATATCCAATATAAATATTGTATAATATACTACAAGAAAAAAGCAATTAAAATTAAATGTATCTTTTACATTTTTCTAGTGCTCATAGTTGTTTTTAAAATGACTTTTTATGATTTTAAAAATGTAATATTGGAGCTTTATATACATTTGGACGGTTTTTAAAAGTTCAAGTTATTAAAAATCAAGAACATTATAGGATAACAATCAAATGAAACAATCTCAATAATTTTAACATAACAATTTAAAAGAGTATTGGGCTTACTTAAATAAAATAACAGTTAAAAGGAATTAGTCAAAACTAATCCCACTGAAATCAAAAATAAAGATAAATGTAAGCTTGTTGATGAATTTTCATCTTCAGTTTTCATATCAACGGAAGAATTTTCACATATTTTCTGAAATACGAAAGCAGTAATTAATAATTTAATAAAAAAACACTAACATAACACTTTTAATTCGATAACTTTTTTTAATGTAACTAAAATAGACTTTATTAGGCAGGCAAACATAAATGACATCAGCATAAATATTTTAATGATAGAAAGTTAAAATATTTAAGTTATTTTAATTAACCCTCAAATGTGCAAACTATTTTACTAAAAATTATAATAGTTACTTAAATGTTATTTAATTATATATCTCCAAAAAAAAATTAATGTATTTAAAAATGTAATTATTTAAGATAAAGTACATCAGACATAAAATACCTAATAAATAAATAAAATTAATTTTTGTACTTGTTGCAAAATTTGCAACAGGGTGATGATCAATTAAGAATAATACTCATCTTTTTAGAAACTATGCAAAATTTAAAATTTCCACAAAAGAAAAAATTATTTGATTAAAATAAATCTAGAATAATTAATTTTTTTTCCATTAAAGTTCTAAAAATAGTTATATATTTTTAGGTAAATGATATGATAAAAAAATTTCTAACATCTTTGTTCATATAATATTTTTTATTAAATGAACCGTTCATTAGTTAATGCTTGTTAAAGTTTAGTGATTTTTTATTTTTATTCTATAATTTCTTGTTCTTCATTTTTTCATGCTGTTACAAAAACAAATTTTTACTATTACTTTATTTTTTATCATATCTTTCACATAAAATAACAAAAATAAATACTGATATAAATTATTGCTCATTGAAAATTATTACAGTAGACTATAGTATTATGAAAATCAAATTAATGATAACTTTTATGTTTTAAATACAAATCTTTAAGCAACTGAAGGTCTTGGTGCAACAACCAAAGTAAAGTTTACTTTTTTAGGAAAATAGTTTATTGTTAATATTGAAAATATATGATTTTCCATTTAAACTAGTTTTATATTATTATATTTTATGGAGATATTTAATTTAGAAAAAACATTTTTCTAATACTTTTAATGAAAATATTTAATACAATTGCTTCTCATACAGAAAAAAAAAAATTAGATTTCACAGGTTGATGCACCGAGCTTTTAAATTTAAAACACAAATGGTAGAAAAATTTATAAGAACAAAATTTTTTCAAAATATTTTCTATCATATAATCATAAAAATATGGGTTTTAGTTAAATAAAATTAAAGTTTTTTGTCTAAAGGGACAAAAAAAAAAATTATACTATATTTTTTTAAAATCAAACAATACTTTACTTTACAAAAATTGAAAATATTTAGTAGTTTCATCATTATCACTTTAGCCTCTATCCTAACTATTTGGGTTTGGCTCTACCTTATTGATTTGGTAGGATTTTTACACCATCTGTTAACCTGACACAATCTCATTAAGGTTGGGGGATCTGTAAGGGGCAAGGTTACTTTAAAGTTCCTATATGTTCACCCATCCAAAAATTAACAAGCAATAAACTAATAAACAGAGCAGCTGAACATTTGTGATAAGATGACAACTGAATGATCCACACCCTTAAAATATCCAATCGTTTATACATCATATATTACTTACTAAAAGAGAAGATGCCATTTCACTGAGAAACTGTTTAGTAAATGCAACTGTTGTTTCCCCACAAGTTGCTTTGACTATGTCGTTGACACAAATTAAATAGCCACGAAATGATCTGCATAGTATTTTATTTAAATGAATAAAACAATTTATAATTAATTATACTTTAAAATATTTAAACTAAGTTAAAAATTATTTATTCAATTTATTATTATTCCATGTACAACTATTATATTTTTAGATAATCAAGTTATTTTGTAAAAAGGAGAACTAACAAAGTCAGCACAAAAATATTTCTTTTATACCAATGAACTCAATTTAAATTTACTTAAATGATAAAATTAAGGTATGTGATATGAATATTTTAAGTATTTTATTTTATAAAATTGATTTGAATTATATTATTGATCAATTTATAATTTTGTTACATAAATTCATGTAAAATTGATGAATAATACTATAACATGATTAAAGACATCAAAATTTTTAAATAATTTTTAAGAAAATATTATATTCTAAGAATAAAGGTTTCTATAAGCCACAGGATAATTTTTCAAATTTTATATACCCATCATGTAAAAAATCTTTATGATTATAATGAATGGTTTAGTATATCTGTGACATTTAATGGAAAAACCGGAGTACTTATTGTCACTGCATCAAGATACATAAATTTTAAAGAAAAAAAATTACCTGAAGCTTATAGAACTTTATTTATTGGACATTACATCATATTTCAACATTTTTATTCTACCAAAACATTAAATTGAATGAGAACTTTGTAAAATAAAGAAAATTATTATGGTTACGTAATATGAAGTATATTTAGAGTTGTCTAATCTTAATAAATAACACGCTGAAAATATTTTCCATTCAAGTATTTACCTGCATAAGTGTTTTAGGTTTTCATTCATATCATGAGAAGGTTGAAATTGAATGGTAGAGTTGTTATTTGCCATCATTTCGGTGATGTGTTTCTGATGTTCTTTTCCACATTCTTCATATTCTTTATGAACTTTTTTTAGACATGGTGCATGTTTCAAATATTCTGTAAATTATTAAATAACTACTTTTAAACTATTTATTAACAATAAATTCAAAATAAAATGTAGGAGAGAGAGGATATTATGAATGAGATATTTAATCATTATAGTAATTTATTTCAAGATATCTGAGTGATGGAAAATTATAAAAAAAAAGTTAATTAATCTAATTTAAAATGTTAATTAGATTAATTTGTAACAAAAAAAGTAAAGTGTGTTATCAATGGTCCAAAATGGCACAATGGGCTAATTTTTAAGAAAATAAGTAGCACATTTTAATTAAAAAAAAATAATATTCAATTCATCTCACATCTTTACTTTTGTTTAGATAAATAACAAAATAAATACAATTTATAAATTCAATAATCTTTGTATAATTGATCAACTGTAATAGTTATAAAATTAAAAAATAAAAATTATAATAATAAATATTTTATTTAAAAAAATTGGTTTGAGTAAAGTGAACAGTTACAATTTACCATGTTACGGAAATATCTATTAGCAGATTAATTAAAGAATTTTAGTATATGACATACTTTTATTTTAAAATTTAATGTCTTACATTGTTCAAAAAAAAAGTAACAAACATATTAATTGAAAATGAGGAAATGAGTGTTCTAATGTATGTAAAAAATAAAAAAAAGATGTTTATTGGTTTTATAATCTTGTAATAACATAAATTTTGTTGAAATACATTGAAATGAGGTAAAATATTCACTTTACGAAATACTAGATGAATATAAAATTAATTTCTAGAGCAGAATTTAAAATTTGAAATAATTTTACAAATTTATTACTTATTAAAAATGTTTGACTGAATACTTCACAATTATTTTTGATTATAAAATTAACATTTCATCTATTTCTAACCTATATATTAACTAACTATTAAAAAAAAATAGTAGTTGCTTTTTTTGAAACCAACTATTAACTAACATAATATGGATGAGGTGAATGTACTTTGATATTTCTTTAATTATGAATATTTTATTATTTCATTAATTATTGTTTATTTTGATTTTTAATATACTGCGGATATTTTGTACTTAGAAAGTTTGGATTTTAGCTTGTGACAGAATTTAGTACCAAGGAAACACAATTCTTAAATGTGACCCTAGATACTAGTAGAATGATCCCTACTAGAATTTTTCTTGTGTCTATCCTTAATATAGATTATGATTTTTATTTTTTTTATTTATGTTTTAATAGCATATTTTTTAATTAAATACGGTACCACTACATATATGTTTTGATTATATTAAGGTAATTAGGTCCTAGGTCCAAAACCCTACTATCATGAACATTTTTTATATGAAAATAACTGTGTTATTTATATACAGTTAATCTTAGAATAATAATAAATAACACTGACCATCTTGATATGGACCATCTTGGCATAATTCTTGCATCAGCAAGGGTGGTTTATTATATAGTTGATAAAAAGAAGAACGCTGCTTTGGGCTCATGCATTTCCTTGTAAAAACATCAACACAAACTAAATGTTTTTCCAAACCTGAATACCTAAAATAGAAATTAATATTATCAATAATTATATAACAATTTTTTTTCTAAAAATAGAGATAAACAAAAGTTTAGATTTGTATATAAAAACTCACGGACAGTTTACAGATAAATCTTCTTTTTTTTCTGCAACGGGTAAATCTGTATAATTGTACAAAGGAAACTGTTTACAATTGAAAATATGTGGATCATCACATCCCATGTAGTTTTTTTCTACAGCTGTAGGCCCACAACTAACAATACTAAAAACTATAAAAATGAAAAATAGACAATGATTATTAACAACCAATTTACATGTAAAATGTTTCTGACAATTATTGAAAAAATATTTTAAAAACTTTCACTACATAAGATTTTCAAGCAAAAAAAAAATACTAGAATATATATTTTATTTATTTGTATAGTTTTTTGCTCAGTCGTGTAATTTTAGTGTTCGAATATACGATTACTCCTGCTCCTATTGAAACAATACATTAAAGCATCACAAAAAGTTGAAGGTATCAACGTCATAATTTTGAAAGATTCCATCAATTCCCGTAATAAAGAGAAATATTGAAATAACTTTTTGAAAATTAGACGGACTTTCCAAAAATTTTATTAATACTATTTCAAAAATTGTTTCGTAAAAACGTATTATTATACATTTTTTTAACTAACTATATATATTTTTTTTAAGCGCATGAGACATTACATTAGTCTTTTTTTTTTTTGTGCAAATCAATAAATTGAAATAATTTCCATTTTAAATTATAAAATAATGCTAGTGGAAAATATAAACCCCACTTTCCAACAAAAAGAAACACTCTTGGACCCTATCAATTTAATGTAAATATAAAAATAATATAGACATACATGATTAAGGTTTTTTATAATGTTATATAAAAATGTACTTGTTGTGAGAGGAATTAAATTGCCCCATACAATTTTATTTTATTTATAATTACAAATAGAAAAATGCTACGTTCCAGAATGCTCCATACATTTTTTTAGATAACTAAAAAAAATAATGATTTTCCATTTCATAGCATAAATATTCACTAAAAATAGATTATACAGGAGCTCAGGTTTATTTATAATAAATTTACTACAAAACTATATCCTTGGAGATTTGGCGTGTGGTCTGTAAATTTGTTGAAGAACGTTTGTAATTTTTAAATTAACATTTTTCTAAATGAAATAACATCGTTAACTTAGTTAAATGCACTGCGACTAATTTATAATAATCAAAATAATTGTACATGCGTGATTGATATCAATTGATTCATACACAAAATTCATAAAATAATATTGCTGCTAATTCTCAGCATCTTCAACTTAAGATTGTTACGTTTTTTTTAATGTATTTATGAATTTGTTGATAGTACTTTTTAAAATTAGTAGAATTCCACTATTTATATACTTTGTCTTTAGCGTCTATTAAATTAAAGAAAACCTTTTCAACGTGTTATAATAATTAAAATTATTTCAATCTAATACTATCTAATATGATTCAATTTATTCTGGTAAAACATGTTTATTTATTACTTTAATTTTATATCATTTTAAACAACTTTAATTTTGATTAAGTAGTTGCGTTTTATCAATTTAATTTGATTGTTTATTAATAGTTGATTCTATTGAAGGGTTTCCCGTTTGTATTCCAATTTTTTTATTTAACCTCTGGACTTGATCTTTTATTATAAGAATACATAATACAGATAAAATATTCTTGTTTAACTTTAAGATAGAAATATAAAAATTCTTATTTCGTAAATAAGTATATGTTTTTTTGCATACCTCTTTAAAAATGTAAACTAAAGATCAAAATTTGATTGTTGCCGTTATAACGGCATAATAATAACGCATTTCTTTATAATTTTACATCATAATAGTTTTTTAATTGAATATAAAGTGAGCTGTTTTATGTATCATCATCCTTTTTTATTTACCAAAAATAATAATTTATAACTTGGATGTTGGATTAGATGACATTGTTTTTCTTCTATAATATGTTTTAGAATAAAAATATAGTTACCTAAAGAATATTTCATATTAAGATTTAAGTTGTTCATCGAACAAATAATTTTAAACAATGTTAATAGGTTCAGGAAAAATATTTAGTTAAAATATTTAGTTAAAATAATAGTAAAAATAAAAATTATATACATTTTATTACTGCCCATGAATTTGAACAGACCGAATAAGCAAACTAAATTTGGAAAATAATAGCATGTTTTTTTAATGTATATATATATTTGATAGAAAATAGTCACCATAAATTATTGTTAAATCTATTTAAACATTCACATATAATTAATCATTATATACAACGACGCGTGAACACATATTCAGATAAACAAGTTGTTTATCTGAAATAGAAAACTAGAATATTAGTCAGAAGAATACCTTATCTCATATTAATTAGTATAAGTAATAATAATAATAATAATAGTATATTTATAAACTGTATGTAATTTACAATAATATATGTTGGGTATTCTTTCAACATCATATAAATTAAGAATTTACACAAGAAAATATTTTGCGTAAGAGTAGTCAATTTTTCACTACTACAGACGCTAATGAAAAAAACGTTGAAAAGATGAAATGCTCATAATGTATATGAACTATGTTGGTATAATAGAACAATTAGCCAATTAAAAATAATAAATTATATAATAGTGTATTTATTTATTCAATAAAAATGTATTGAAGGATTAAATTAGAAAATTTAACCAATAAATTAGTACTCCCCTATTTATTATTCACAAAAAACACGTTCTTTAATGTTTAAGTAATAAACTTTCAAACATGAAAGTGTATTATTTAAACTACTAAGAACATTTTAAGGTTATTTTTTAGCGATATTCATTCAATCTAGTTGACAGTAGCGTACCTTACAAAAGATTTAATATAAAAAAAAATGAGTACTTACAAGAAATAACGATAGTGACAAAAAATATGATATCGATAATAGTTCGCTTCGATTCCATAATTTCGTTGACAAGTTACTAGTTAGCTTAACTACTGTATAAAATGTACAAAAATTGTTATCACTATTAACATATAACTATTTCATTGCGTTTTAACCAATTATTTTGTAAAAAATCAAAACACGTTAGACTGTTTGTGGTGGACTAAGATCGCGATGATTTGACTAGAACCACAAAATAATAAATCAACGCCTAATGAATAGAAACGAACAATTATAATTGAGAAACTGACTCGACAGCGTTAGACGTTTAGAAAGATAGTAACAAGATGTGTGTAACTGTTGCTTCTACAGCTGTTGCTGTGTGTCTATTATCGATAGTTTATACTACGATAACTAACTATCGATCACACTTCTACGATTTTTAAATCAATGTTATATCGGTCGTTATATGACGGACACCAACGAGTTTTAATATGTAGAAAAATAACAAAAATCATAAAATACAACAATCGTCGTCACCGGTAAGTGTTTTACTAATACAACGATGCGAAACATCAGTTCAATTTTAAAAATAGCAGTACTATTGAGAAAAGAATCGTCAATAGTTATCATTGAAACTACGTCCGTGATTTGAGTTTAAGGTCAATTATAATTAACTAATAGTATTACATTTTTTTTATTTATCTTCAAAAATTTATTACAGCAATAAATTTTATAATATCCTACTGTACATTTATATTTCTTAAGTGAAAATTATTTTAACGTATGATTTATTTTCATAATAACTATTTACATTTCAGGCAGGAGCGGACAAGTAAACTATACATATCACAATATATCCATAATCTAAAATATATTTAGGAGAAGGAAGCGGATTATTTAACATAAAACGAAATTTATAATACTTTCTCAGCTTCGCATCGAAGCTAAAATTTACGTACAAATAATTTCATTTTCAAAATATTCCTAAATTTTCGGATTAAAAAATATTGATTTACAATTTACTTTGATGGATAAAGAATTAATCGATGATTAATTATTGGTGGCCATTAATATTATAAAAATAATCAGAATAATTTTTTATAATTTTTCGTGAATTATATTAGTTTTATTCGATAGCTTGTTTTACTGAATGTGTTCAAAAATTAAAAAATAATAATTATCTTCGAGTGTATTTAACCCTTTCCGTCTTAAGTAGTAAAAGGTGAAATATTGAAGAGTAAAAATAATATTTTTATTTAATATATATATATTTCTTTTTTTGTTGTAAATAGGTTCAGGTATTAAATTTTTGGTAAATTCTCAAGCCAGAACCTTTGTCACCAGAGCAACAGGTTTAGTTTTAGAGTTAGATTTTAGTGTACTAAAAACTATTAAATTCATTAAAGGATCTAACAAGTTAATCATCATCGTCTCCTTGCCTATACCTTAACTATTTGGGGTTGGATACCTTATTGATATGACTTAATTCTCATAATAGCTGCCGACCTGAAGCAACCTTATTATAACTAAGGGAATCAGTATGAAGGCAAGGTTTGTATCACTATTTAAGTTCCCGTATGGTCTCTCATGTAGAAACTAACAACGAATAGCGCAAATCACTGAATATCAGTGATAAGGCGGCGATAGAATGATCCACTGCGCCACACCACGACCTACTGTAACATTAGAATCTCATTAAAGAAGAAAGTCTAAATATAAATAATTGATAAGTACACTGTAAATATTTCTTACATTAAGTAGCTGATACTACTCATTATCGAGGCTTTATTTTGTAAATAAAAAAAATTAAATTTGTGACCTATTTATGTCAATTATACTTAACTTATTATTTAATAAAACATGAATGAAGAATTGAGTATGTTATTCTAATGACAAACAAAAATTCGAAGATAAACAAACTAAATAATTAAACTAATTAAATAATATCAACAATTAAAAACATTTTAGGTATTGTAAGGCGACAGTTATACTATTAATTTTGTGATTCAATTAAAAAAATTGTTTAGTCTAAGTTCAAAAAAACTACAAGTATAAATAATGTTATGGCTAAGTTACTTTCTAAAAAATATTAATTTTAAATTTAAACATCACAATTCTTAAAGTACAACAATAAAACCTGAAGTAAAAGACTTCAGATGGTTGGTATTTTTCAAAATTTTTGTGTAATTTTTACTTATTACTTATAGATTTCTAAAATTTACTAACTTATGAAATTTTTTTAGTAAAAAATTAATAGTAATTTTGATAAACAAAAGAATTTTTTTCTCATTACCTCATCATTTTAAAAACAATAATATCTATACTCAATGATATTTTTTTATTAAAATGCAGGAATATCGCTAGGGATGTATGTGGTTTATATCGGTAGGTTATGTTGATGACGAAAAAGGTTCTTTTTTCACCAAAAGAAAAAAATATATTTAAAGTAATACATAAAATGTTTGTAGAGCTAACAAAATTGTTTCGTATAAGGACCAGTTAAAATAAATATTAACTTTTTATAATATTTTACAAGTATTAGACTTTTTGAATTGTTTAGTTTAAAATATTTTAAAAATAATTTATTTTAAACAATTTGTTATTATAGGAAAAAATATTGTTTAAATAGGAAGATAATTTTAGTGCTTTAAAACACTTCTCGAGTATAAATTTATTCATCAGTACTTATAATAAATTAATTAAAAGTTGTACATTTAAATAAATAATAAATAATATTAAAATGTAATTCTCAATATCGTTAAAACAACTTAATAAGCACATATAACACATTCTATAGAGGAGTGTGACAATCTATAATATTATGTAAACCCATTGAACTTAGTTTTCATCATTATTATAGATACATTCTTTTAATTATTTTTCATTGTTTCATTCAATCCTTTGTTACGGTATTTTTGCATACTATTCAGTATGATTGTTGATGCCAATGAAGGTGAAATAGTTTTAAGTAAAATAATAAAATATATCTAGAATAAAAATTGCCATACAATGCATAACATTGTAGGGTGATAAATATCGTTATTATTTAATAAATATTAAATATTTATTTGAAAATAAATAAAAGTTGTAATTCATATCGATTAAAAAGTAGGTAAAATTATAAAGCAGTTAAAATCTAGCGTGACTAGGTGTTTCAAGAACAAGGACGGACGAGAATGAAGATCGGTAATATACATTTATATGTAAATTACCTTTCTTTCTATAATCAAGAGCTAAAAAAAAAAGGTTTCAAATAAACTGAAATTAGTTTATTGAAAAAATTCTATGAGCTTAAAAATTAAATCTTATGAATTAATTTTCTTTTTCATTTTTTTTTTTTTAAGGTTGGTTAAATAGGTCAGCGCTGATTTGAACGGATAATTAAAATTGTTTACTTAAAATAAATTTTTACTTTAACACAATCATATCATAATTATCATTAAATCTTACTAGCAAAGTGTGTGGGAAATAACCAGTTGTTAATTTTTCGATTTTAGTAGTTTTTAAAGCAGATTCTACATATCTTTCAGCTGTAGGTATCAACCAAGTAGGTTTATTTATTTTACTCATTTTTGTTACAACGAATCCAGGCATGACACATTGTACTAGAACTCCATAATTTTGGTATTCAGTATTAAGATCTTCGCTAAACTTTTGAACAAATGTCTACAATGAAAACCACATAACTAAATATAAATTATATCATTGTAAACTCATTACTAAAATCATATTTTATCATTAGAGACAAAGCCAAGTCTCAATATATTTGGTCTAGTTACCAACGAAATGTCACCCTTTGATATTTTATCTAATATATTATTTGTTGAGCAAATTTTATGCCCTAGAAAGCTGTTTTATTGTCTAGATCTAAATACGATCATGATTAATTTCACAAGCAGAACCTAATTAAGAATTATAAGGGTCCTGGATGAAACCTTAAGAACTATAAGGGGTATTCACCCCTTATAGTTCCTTTTAATCCCGATACTGGTTACAAAATAAGGTGGTTAAAATGTAGATAATGGTACAATTGAAAAAATACATACGCAGAAAAATGTATTTTAAATCTTTTCCATATTAATAAGATGACACACATTTAATTTTTAAAACTGTGAACTTTAATTCCTAGTTGATTTTACTTAACATCTCATAACACATGCATTGTTTTTTGTGATATTTTGCATCACTTATTGTATTTATATTAATTTAATTGTTTATTTGATTTCAAATAAATAAATATTATTATTATTTCCGGAGAGTTATTGATATATTAATTAAAAACATCTAGTGAAAGGACTAAATTTTGCAATTAGGTTAGTTCAATACGGATAACCATAAAAAAAGCCAAAGAGTGCTAAGAAAAAAATTTCAAAAAGATTAGATAGAAAGTTTTTGTATTTAAGGGTAAGGCATCATTATGCAGGGTTTGTTAATTTATTACATTTATTGCTTTTGTATCTTATAAAAACCAAGCCTTTTATACACATATTTTTAATAGATTTATATTATGTACAGAGTGTTCAGTCAGAAGTAAACAGGTATATTGTTATAAACAATGAGAACAATAGACATCACATTTCCTTACACACTGAATACCCTGTATATTTTTAATGTTGATAATTTAAACTGTATACCTTAGAAGAACCATAAACGGTTAATAATGGGCTAGGGCATGGCGACGATAATGATCCTATGTTCATGATGATACCGCGACGTTTTTTTACCATTGCAGGCATGACAATACGGCACATATTTACTATAGAAATAATATTACATCTGATTATATTTTTAAATGTGGGATCGTCATCTTTGAAATTTAAAAAGTATTCAGGATGAGAATAACACTGTCCTGCATTGTTTATAAGTATTCCTATATCCATTCCATCAAGTTCCTTGGATAATCGTGGATATAATGAAGATTCATCCTCCGTGAAATCTGCTACTATAATCTTAGTTTGAACATTGTAATTATCACCTAAATAAATGATTCTAAATTATACTTTTTGACCCTTTATAAGCTGAAACAGTGATGTAGATATGGAAGACTAAGAGACTAGTCCGTTAAGTGATAAAATCCATAGTACAACTTAATTTTTTACAGAAAATAGTTTTTTTAAAAGGATTTATAATATATCTTTTTATTATTTAAGAAAATAATGAAAAATATTTCTTCATTTTCCAAATTTTTTTATTTTATTTACGCCATTGAGCGTAATTATAGTAATTGTTTATGTGATAGATAATATTTTTGTAAGTAGTAATTATCTATAGATAATAGAATATGGATATAACTATTTAGTAAAATTGGTTCAGTATACCGTAATGCATAATATTATATTACATAATATTGACACAATTTGATTTTAAAAAAAATAACTCAGTACAGTCAAGATACAGCTTAGTGGGGACCGGTATAAATTGAAATTTGATAGTGATTAACATCACTAACTTAAACGCTTCTAAACAAATACGTATAAAGAAAGTTTCAAGAAAATTTTTTCGGGGGAGAAGGGATCCTCCCTATTTTAATATGCTTATAGGTAATAAATTGTAAAAAATCCTACCTAGAAAAATGTTGGTAAAAGAAGTCTAATAAATTTTTTCAAAAAATCCTTTTTTCGTCAATTGAAATACCCATTTAAATTAAGGACATAAGTCAATATTTCTTTTTTCAAAACTAAGTATATTATAAGACTTTTAAATTAAAATCTCTTTAAAGGTGTCAGGATTTCTAGAGCACTTATAAAATTCAAATTAAAAAAGTTCAATTGTAATGCAAGATACCATTTTGAATTCCTCCTGTTAGCAGGTATAGTGTCTAATTTCCAAAAAATATATATCTAATAAAAAGAACATATCTAAGGTATGATTTAGGTGCTGCTAATAATGCCTTATATAAAGCTTATATAAAGCCCAGCCAAGATAAGGTTTATTAGGCCAAGATAAGCTAGTATAAGATTTAGCTAGACTTATTACAAGCTAAGTCTTATTAACAGTATCTAGACCATTGAAAACACTACTTTCAAATTTTGAAAGTAATGTTTTCAATGAGTTATGCTTTGTGATCTTTTGACGTATCGTTTAACATAATCTATTCAGTAGTAGCTAAGACTTTGTGGTAACAGACGCACAAAAAAAACACACCATAGTAACATTAATACATATTCAGATTTGTGTCAAAGATAGAAGCTCCAGAAATTTTACTGAATAATTATCTATCAATTTAACTTATTTAAAATTAATTTTTTATTTATTTTTATACATTTTTCTTGTTGGCGCATCCTGAGGTAACTCTAGGGGTTTAATTCTTAAATTCTGTCAAGGCCTATAAAAATGATTTATTTTTTATTAATTTATATTTCAGGGGAGGGAAAAATTAAATTAAATCTTGAACATTTTTTTTTTAAGTAGCACGTATAATTATGTTACAGAAAAATATTTATCCAATACTGGATATAATGGAGATGCGTTACTATATTCTATTGATTATATTGACGGTTAGCGGTCACATAGACGTTATTTTAAGTAAGGTATAAAAGTGTTCTTTTAATGAATCCTCCTTATCAAGATAATATGTAATTTTATAGGTTAAAATAATCACAATAAAAAATAAATTATAATTTAATACTTACGGATCATCTTAGCCGTACACTCAAGTTTTGATTTTGTCCTACTAATTAATACAATGTCTATTCCTTTTTTGGCCAACTATGGAAAAAATAATTGTCTCATAAATTTAATGAGTCATACTATTATGAATAATTTGAAATTACTTGTTCGGCGTATGCTTTACCAATTCCATCTGTACATCCTGTTATAACTATAAATTTACTAATTATAACATACAAATTTGATATAAAATATTCCATTATACAGGTGTCCCATTCTGTTTTGAAAGTTCCTTTATCTTTTGTCATACTGAATATTTTATATTTTTTGTAAGGAAATAATAGTATTTATAAACTAATATTTATCACTTTTATTCAATAAAATAATCGATGTTAATTTAAGCGACGGTAATTTTCATTAAAAAAAAATCTATCCCTTAATGGTAGGTATATCAGTGATGGTTATCGAATTATTTATAATCTATTTATCAATTATCTTTGTACACCTCTCTGACGAGCATGGACCAACATTTGATATTGTAATAGAGATACGCAAAATTCAAGTTTGTACATTTTAAAAAAAGCTCTAGAAATTTAAGATGACATATTGTTACTAAATACTTATTATGATCTACTCTATAATATTACTGTTTTGATTTTTTTTTTCATTTCTAATAATTAAAAAAAAAATTAATTAATATTATCTATAATCTAATAATTTTTAAAGAAGAATGTAACTAAAAATATCCAATAGACCAGAAGTTGTAGGATTACTAAGAAAAGGCTGGAACAACATATATAACTATCTGGCTCATAGAATAATTATAAGATTTTTTTTATAATATTTTGATTATGTTTTATGGTAGAATACTAATTAAAGGTAATTGGCAGATTTATTGAATAATTATTATATTAATAGTTAAGGACAATTTGAACCATTTCAAATAGTTCATTTGATTTTATATTTACTATATTTAAAAGGAATTTATTACTAAAACCTTTTTAATATTACATTATTTTAATTAACAAAAGTTATAAAATTATTTTNATTACTAAAACCTTTTTAATATTACATTATTTTAATTAACAAAAGTTATAAAATTATTTTTTTAATTACCTGCCCATTTTCCTGTAGATTTAAAATCTACATTCGATTCATAAATTATGTTATATACAAATTGAATAAAAGAAAAACTAAACTTAACTGATAGTAATGTGAATATAACTTTACCTAATACCTCAAAAAACATTTTATTTAGTTTAAAATATTTTGCTAAACACATGTACTGATATAAGTTAAATGAAAATTAATACCTACTGCTTTTACATACATTTAATGTTAAAGTTATAATTATAGGTGTAAAATTACACGTGCCTAATACAATCACATAATTGAAAGATAATTAAATAATTATTTAATAGATACCTTTATAATAAGAGTTTTATTACTACTAAAAAGATTATTTTATTGTGCCATAAATTTCAATACGAAAATTAGATACTGTTCTAGTAGCTAAAAAGGTTATTGGAAAATAACAAATTATTTTCAATGGCTGAATAATTATTTTTTAATTGAGTTATATTTTTATTAATAACATATTTTTTTAATACCTATTTTCGCAATTGTATATCAAAACAAAAATAATATATCTTATCCTTTTTAAAATAACTTCAAAATTCTGGATTTATTATTTCGATATTTTTATTAATTACTAATTAATCGGTCAACAGCTATTTTCTTTTTACTATTTTAAAATTATTTCTATATGAAATTTTGACCAACAAATAAAAATATTAAAACCTACTTAAAGTATTTCTTTGATTTTCTTTTAAAAAAATTTGTCTTTGAACTCATTATAATAATAATAATTTGTCATTGTAGTGCTATTCTACCGTTCCTAATACCGTCTTTCGTTTTCTTTAAAACTATAAAAATAATTAGTTATACAATCCGTAAAATTTAATCGTATTTATTATTTATATATATAATATTCTATCATATCATTGCTTCAGCATCTTCAAAATAAAAAAATATTGGAGTAATATATAAAAAAACCCAACCAAAAAATAAAAAACCCAGCACAGGGGGGTCGCGGCACCATGGTGAC